GAGCATTTTACCTGTGCTGGTGCGTACGGCGGTTCCAGACCCCACACCGTTGTATTTTGACCTAGCTCTATTCGACTCTCGATATGACACGATGGTTGTGCGAGTGTTGCGGTGCTTTTTTTTTCGTGTTTCGTCGACCTTCGCCGCGTCTCTCGATGGCTTTGGTCTTTCGACGTTATTTTTGTTGTGTATATTTTTTGTTCGTTTCTTCTGCTTGCTGTGCCGTAACCCGAGGTTTCTTGTTGCGGTCAGTCGCCAGCACGAGGGAGAGTATTGCTATGGTGGGAACTTACTCGAACCAGCTGTCATGGCGGCTGATGGTGAATAAGCCCTGGCAGTGTTGTTGAGGGGGTCATTCTCGGCGAGAATCGGCGCAAGAGTACTTTTTTGCCGACTTGGAAAACCTCACCAAGGAATGCTTATTTCTCGGAGAGAGGGGGTAGGGGATGGGTCGGGAGTTTGTCGACATATTTGTCCCCGTTTCCAGCGTATGCCAGGAGGATGAGAATACGGAGAGGGCATGTTTCCAACCGTTCCCTCGATTTCGGGTACACCTTGCGCCTCCGGCAGCGGCGGTGGCGGCGGCAACATTTCGTTTAATTGGTTGTTTCTAATATTGAACGCCCGATAGTTTTGGAAGGATCAGGGAGAAGGATTGTTTTTTGACAAATTTGTTGAGGATTATTGACCTGTCATGACACAGGAGTGAGAGTCATAGGAAAGATGAGACCAAGGCACGGTAGGAAACCGTTGCGCACAGCGCCTTGTGGATTGTTGCTGGGCTTGACCAGTTCGGAACTGGACGGATGGGTTAGGACGCGGGTTCGACCACGCTCTGTATTCGCCCGAACGCGTGCAGTATGGTTTTGGCGAGATGAAGGAAGACAGGGGTTGAGGCGGCGATAGAACGGTTTTGTTCACCAGTACCATTTCTTGGCTTGGGGTCGTGGTTGTTGTAGTGTGAGGGAAAATGTTATGAGGGGGACCGTCAGGAAGAAGGGAGGAATGCAGGCTTGAGACTGAAGGACAGTTCATATCATGCGCGATGAGTGTACGAACATGCGGCAACAACGGCAGTTTAACGTGTGAAACCGAACGAATTGCGTCCTGTGAACAACCTCTGGAGGACTGCACGTTGAGCGACCGATGTCGGATAACCCAGTTGGGGGCAGCATCTTGAAGTCGGCGAAGGTGGCGAAGCGACTCACCTCGGCAAGGGTTGCTACGCATACGTTGGATGTGCTCGTGCCTACCGTATGCCACAAAAAATCACACTCGGCTGGGTTGCGAAAAATAAGACCGCGTACCATCTGAACACGGTGGCGATAAACCTTGCCCCTCCAAAAAAAAACACGTGGTGACGGCAATGCTCTTACGATTTGGGGGCTTCCCAAATCATAACCACGTTATCCCCTCGAATCAAGAGCTGCTTCAAGTATCTTCGTCGCGCCACCGGCTTCCGCTCGCCTGTCCAAGGCCCTTTCGAACGCGATCGTCTGGTGGACTTCTTCTTCCTCACCTCCGCGGCGGGTATTTCGCCCGTAGCCCCACCCCCCCGGCCTTCCCCCCTGTTGACGTCACCCCCTTGTCTCCCCGCAGGAGGAAGAGGAGGACGGGGGCGTTGCTCTTCGGCGTCTGGTGTTCTTCTAGTAGGGTCCTTCTCCTCCCGTTCGGGGGTGACTCCCCATTCCTGGGGCAACAATTTCGTTCTCGTCGCCGTTCGAGCCCCGCCCTCCCTCGTCTCGTCCGAACACGCCTCCTCGGTCGCCGCTCCAGATGCCGCCGCGACTGCCGCTACAGGCATCCTTCGATCTCTAGGATCGATTCTTTCGCTCCTCCCGCCGGCGTCGCCGGCAACCTCTCCTCTTATTCTTCCACCTTTGAAGCCACCAGTACCTGTCACGCTCCAGGCCGTTGCAGCTCTTTGTTCGGAGCCATCGGCTGGAGAAATGCCGACAAACTTCTCGTCGTCGGCCGCTCCAGCACCACCAGCTCCGCCCGTTACCTTGCCGAGGCCCTCGGGGCCCCGTGCATCACGCGACCCCGCCACCCCACCGGCTCCCGCGTAACCCCCGTCCCCCGACCCACCTCCGCCAAGACCTTCGAAGCCAGTGACCTTGGACGCTGCCGCTGCGTCGCGATCGATCGGGTCCTCCTCCTCCGCAGGCTTCGGCGAAGGCTGCTTGGGGGGCGGCCGCGGCCCGCGGGCGGGAACGAAGGCGGTGTAGTTCTCCCGCACGTCGACCAGCAGCAGGTTCATGTGCCTGTCGAACGCTCTTATCAGCCCGGTACAGGTGCCACGGATGCTGAGACGGATAAACGGGTAAAAACGGCAACGGCAACGGGAAGGACGGGAAAGGAGATGGCCGGTTGGGTGGACGTGCTGCTGCATGAATATATTCGTTGGTTTTTAGGTGTGCAGCAGCCGCGAGTAGAGGATGGGGAACCGAGTGGGAGAGCTTGCCAATAGCCCATTTTCTCGAGAGCCCCGAATTGCAAAACACCGTGTTGCGATATTTTCTGCTAAGGGGTAGACACGAACAAAACACGAATAGAAGCCGAAAGAAGCGCCACGGTACGCCGCCGTGGCCCAATTTCGGCCGGCCGGGCGAGGGTTAGGGCTTCAGAGCAAACACGCCACACGTGCCTTAGAAACCACGATGCCACACATGCCTCGTCATCTCGTAGAGCAAACGCGTCACGCGTGCCTCGCCATGTCGAAGAGCTTGTCATTCTTGGAATCCAACGGATCTCCTTGAAGGGATCGCTCGCACAGCACTCGCTCTCCACCAAGCCTAACAGATGCTTCACCCGCACGCACCAGATTTCTGGACCCATGTGGAAGGGGGGGAATCCCGGACAGATATTAATATTCCCCGCAATACACTAAAGTACAATCGTTGACCTCGTAAGTTGCGGCCAACGAGTCGTTTCGAGGCCATCCACCACCTCCAGCAGCCAAACGGACGGCAAAGAACACACAAAAGAACGGCCCCACACCTGTTCACCCTCCGTATCATGACGCTGGCTCGTCTGTTCTCCTCGTGTAGGCGGTACAGCAGGCTGTACGGGCCGGATCCGGCGTACTCCTGAACAATCCGCTTGACCGGGTTGAATCGTTCCTCTGGACCAAAAAGGGGGAGGGGAGCAGGGGGGGTGGACAGGGTGAGGAAAAAAACGGAGCCCTTCGAAAAAGACCGATGATGGGCGGATGCGAGAGCCGTTGGTCGTTAGCCGAAGGCGAAACGAACAGTTGTCGAGCAACAAAAACAACACCAAACGAACAGTCGACTGCCCCGGGCTGTGCGTCCGGCGCATGTTTAACGCAAGCAGGAACGGAGACCTCGCATGCGTTGAAGGCGGCGTGGTCGTCGAAGCAGTTCATTTTTTTCTTGCATAGATTCAAGTCGAGGGGTAAAGTGTGACCAGGCGCCTTTCGTGTTCGAGTCTTGTACCCTGTTAAAAAAACTCAATTACTACATCCAACCCGTCCTGCCCGTGGACCTTGACAAAAGGCCCCGTCAAAGTTTACTTCCTGAAAAACAATGATGTGCCCCCCTTAACAAGCGAGTCAATACAGCCGGGGGGGATAGAACCACCATGAACATTCGCGCATCGCCTCCTCGTACCGGCGAAGTCGGCGGGGTCGGCCTCCGCATCCCCAGCGAGAGCCCCCTCGGCCAGCCGGCGCCGCGAGGCCATGTCCTTGTCCGCCCTCTCCATGTCTGCAGCAGATCTGACCAGCGGACTGTACCGAACTCTCCCGCCGCCGGAAGTGGGCCACGTCTCTCGTGCCTGGTGAGAACCACGGGGCGAGCCTGCTGCGTTGGGTGGTGGTATTACGCCGGCCCCGCCGCTTCGGGGACCGGCACCGAAATAATCAACGCCGCTCCTGGAATCTGCTGCACCTCCGACGACAGCAGCGGTAGCGCCTGCTTCTGTTGCCGTAGCACCTCCGGCGGTAGCAGTCGGACCGGTGCTGGCGTGAGGTTTTGGCAGCATGCGGTAGAACTTGGCGAGGTTGTCGAGGGCGGGTTCTTTCGGAAACGGCGGGCGGAGCGTCTTGTGCAGTAGGGCCTAAAGAAATCCGGAGAACCGGTGCAGAAAAATCGCGGCATATCCAGGCAGCGGGCATACGCGCGTGATAAGAAACACTGATCTAGCGCGGTCTCAAGCAAGCAGCAGCAGACATTACGACAGCAGTCTGGTGTTGCCTTCGCTCCCTTTCGACCAACCTGCACCTGTTCAATTTGCTGCCCTGCTGCGCAAACGTGACTCTTGATATTTTCAAGTACCGTACATACATGTTTCAGAGGGTTAATGCTACAAGTAACGGATCCATTCTTGAGCGATATTTTCGGGATTCATACACCGCATTCCCGACCGTCCATCCCCACCTGAAGCGGGTCGAAAAACTTGGACCGGAAGTTCAGCTCGTCCCCTTTCGGCGAGCTCCCCGCCCCCTCCCCTCGCCCTAACTTTTCGTTATCCCTGGCGGTAGGCTCCCGTCCCGCTACCCCGGTCCCTGCAGTACCCGCTCCAGCTGCCGCCGTGGACATCGCTCCTGTCGGCGATAGTGGCGATGCCCTCCGGTCAGGGTCGGACGGTTTCCCTCTGGCAAGGTCCTCGTCTTCCATGCCGAACTCGAGCAACACTCGCCGCAGGTCTTGCGAGGCGACCGACGGAGGGAGCGGCCGGCTGTACTTCTTGAGCAGGCGGGCGGACAGCTCCTTCTCCTTCGAGCCGTACTTGGCCACGATCTCGGCCATCACCTGCATGTGTTGTGTCATCCAGTGTTTCGTTGATCGCACAGAAGACACAAAAGAGAGGGGGGACCAGCAGTGCGGCTGTCGGCTGGACGTGCTCTCTTCAAACAATTTCGCACATATAGCTGTTGCGAAACGGTGAAATACATAATGTAGGGTGACTGAAAAGAGATGCTTGCTCAAGTGCCGTCGTACTGGGTTTAGTGCCAGCGTCAGACTGCTGCCTATCATACATGAGATGTCTTTCATAGACTTGCCTGAACAACTAGCGGATGGTGCTGAAGGTGGTTCTCTCTTGGCCAAAGGCATCTAGCTGCCACTACTGTAGCCACTATATTGGCGCTGGCTCTCCTCGCTTGCGACAAAATTGCAACCTGGCCAACCTGGCATGAATTGCGGCTCTTTCCCGTCCCACCATGTCATATTGCGTCAATGTTCTCCCTCGATCGCGGCGCGTCTTGCAAGATACAGGTGTACCTGAAACACGGCTAAGTTGCCGACGCCCGATCTTAGCTGCCTATCTCTCTAAGTCTGTGGCCCAGCAAAGGCGTGGTCTGTCATGCTCACCTTTGCGTTGAGCTGATCCCTCTTGTTCACGGAGTAGAACACCACCAGTCGGGACCATAGCGACGTCCGTGGCTCCCCCATCCTGAGTGGTTGCCCCTTCCGACGCGTTGCAGACGCGCTGCACCCCTCTCTTTCTTCTCTCGGTTTCACTGCACTGCTGTGTGTGCCGCTATGCCGCGGCTGCAGGCTGCAGTGCCCACAGCGGCGAGTTCGCCTGCAACTCTCTCGTTCCCTTTCGGAGATCGTTGTGGTTCTCGCCGCTTTTCGGAGATCGCGGCGAAGCAGAGAGCAGAGATGCAGATAGAGAGAGAGATCCGCCGCATTGGATCTGCTTTGTTCGTATGTCAGAATTTCACGCAAAACAGACGGGTGAATCGGGGGAGAGGCAGGCTTCGGGTAGCACCCAGAAGCGGATTTCGGCCAGCTTTCAGGCATGACAACCCTGCCCAGTCATTCCTAGAAAGATTGCCAAAACCGAAGGCTCGAACGGTGAGTCTTCGATTGGTTGACAACAAGCACGCTGTTCTATCTTTCTCTTCCCCAAGCTTGTCGTTACCTGCATGATTTATAGTCTTCGCGATGTAGAAAGTGGGAGAGTAAGTAGATAAACTACAGGCGTACCAGTATTGAGACGAAACGCGTAGATCATGCTCGTTTCCTTCAACATGTTTGCTGACGAGTCACCGTTAACATCTCGTCCGCGGATTCTTTCCTTGCCAACTCTGCTCGTCGTGCGGTTGTAGTCGGAAGCTAGCCCCCATACGGGTTATGGCAGCACCGCATGGGTGAACTGGACATCCTCTGTGCAGCAGATTGGCGGGGGTAGTGGAGTGAGAGCCACGAGGCCCCTGGCTTGTATGGTTCACAGAAAAATCGTGGTACTATCGATGACACGCCGGTTCCTCGAAGATCTTTCCAGAAAAATCTGGCTGAACAACAAAGTCATATCTCTTCTGTGATCACATGAGTGCTACTAGCGCTGCTACAGCCGCTTCGGGTCATGGTGGTAGCCGCATGAGCAACAATGACAGCAACACCTACAGCAGTGGGGGGGGACAGGAGAATCGCGAAGGAGAGTCCAGCGGAACCATGCAGCTACTCGACCGTCTCGGGTATGGTCTCGTTTCGCTCTCCGATTCTCCGCTTGCTACCGAGGAAAGTGCAAGACAGAAGAGCGTTCGTCAAGGGCAGCAACGTATTGACGAGGGGTTGTATTCCCCGAAATTCGGGAACGAAAATGACAGCTTTCCAGGTATGCAGGGTGGACGGTCTTCTCCACACGATGTTCGATTTCTCGCAGGAATGACCGGGTGCCGGGGGCGTTGTGGCGGTGCCCAAAGAAGAACCACCCCGGGAATGCGAAAGCGCACTGGGCGGTGTTGTTGTGTCGATAAGAATATATGTCTCCCAAGAGGATAGACTCGTCCCAACTGAGCCTTGTGAAGATGTTGTAGCTTCGAATATCGCAATTACCCCACAAACGATGGCAAAGATACTTTGGAGAAACAAATGTTGTCCAGAGTACCTTAGACGAACGATTCGTACGGCACGGTCTTCTCTCACATTTCAGCATTCATGTCCACGAAGAGTGCCAACCTTCCGAGTCCCCATTCTGTTGGTCTTTGCACGATGCATGGATCCACTGCGTTGACCGTATGCCCGACAGGAGGCCACGCCCTCCATGCCTATGCACGAGATTCTTCCTTCGGGTGTCTTTCGGCCCACTCTCTCTCTCTCTCTCTCTCTCTCTCTCTCTCTCTCTCTCTCTCTCTCTCTCTCTCTCTCTCTCTCTCTCTCTCTCTCTCTCTCTCTCTCTCTCTCTCTCTCTCTCTCTCTCTCTCTCTCTCTCTCTCTTGCTTTGCTCGCGCCGCCAACGAAACACCCCCCCCGCTGCGTGCAGAAACAAGCTCCTCATTCTTGGTACAGCAGCAGCAAAAGCAAGGAGTTCAACCTCCATCCGTCGCAGCAAACCTTGCCTCGCTCGGCCGCATCCGAGCGCTTGTGACGACAACGACTGCAGATACTGGGAAGGGGGCTAGAGTTGACGGTGTGTTGCTGCGGTCGGAGGGAGACGAGGCACATATCAACAGTAGCGGTGGCGTTGGCCGGCGGGGCTCATTCGCGCCAGATGCGGCTACGGTGTTCAAAGGGGTTCGAGTACTGCTGGAGCAGAACACAGGCGATCAGTCAGGCTCGGAACAGGTGACTGTGACAGCGCACCTCTGACTTGATCAAGATGTTAGACAGGAATGCCTTGTTCTAGGCCCAACACGTTAAGGGTGTGAAACGATCCCAGTTGGTCTGATGAGGTGGGACAATTTGAATCGGAATCGGAGAAGGCACAATGGGTATGGTGCTTCAACTGCGTTGTGTCGATGTTTGCCGCGATGTTTGCCGATATAATTGGTGCATCTCGGCTATTCGACAAGGGCGACCGCAATCCAGACATGGAGCAGGGCTCCTCATGAGCATCCTGCAAGAACGATAGGGCCTGAGCGACTACCGACGTGAAAATCCCGAAACGAATTTTGCTACGGGCCTAGTGTTTGTCATGCGTGCGTATCGAACGAAGGTTGCAAGACGCTTTAGGGTACCAGACAACTCTGTTGAGGGGATCCGAGCTCTGCGTATCTATGAAAACAGCTCACGCTATAAAAAAGGGTGAATTCAACGATTCGGATACGAGCACTTTGTACGAGCGCTTTATTTGACTGGCAGTTGGATCCCTCTCAACGGAGTCTAGCCCCGTTCCGAAGATTGTCATCAGCCGCATTGTGCACCCAAACGTGGAGTGTCTGTGCCCGTCTTCACGTCTTCCCCTGCCTTCCTCCTTGAAACACACGTGCGATTGCCCCGTTCCCCGCCCTGAACTGGCGATGCAGGTGGCTCTCGAGTGCTTGTCTGTGCTGAAAGACTCCGTGTCTTGGCTTTGCCAGATGCGATCGCAGGGGGAAGAACTAGAGACGGAGGTAGTTCAGAGCGAAACACATTCTCCTTCGAAGATCACGGCGGCAATGGCGCCGCAGCCAAGCGCTTCCGGGCACGGCTCCCATGCCGCCACTGCTTGCGTGGCCTCCACGGTGCCGGTCGTGATAGACTGCTTCTCCAGGGACCGCCTCCGCGCTCCCGCTGAGGATGTTCTCGCCAAGTTTGCCGTCGAGGAGGCAAGCGACTAGATACTCGAAGCGGAGGGTGCTGTGTTCCGTGCACCTTTGGGTTTGGGTGAAATCTTCTGGTTTCACCGTTATTCTTCAGAACTCCGCCGCCTTTGCCAGCGGGGTCCTCAGCAGATTCGCCATAGTTGACCAATTATCGATATCGCGCGCTGCTTATCACTTGTTCGTTTTCTCCAATACTGGAACAACCTGATCATCATTAGAGCCGTAGCACGGTCTTGATTGGTTCCAGCACAAGGGGCTGCTGGAAATCCCTTGTGATGACCTCCCCTGAATGCCCGAGGTTTCTCCATTCTCGAAAATCATGTACTTTTACCCGACGGGACCACCACCGTACACCAGAAGTACCGACCATCGGGGGCAGCATGTATGTAGTCTATCGTGAGATTTGAGACAGTCGAAACCCCTTGTTTTGGGGCAACGAAGTGTGACCCCAAATGGGTGCTTATGTTCTCTTCCCTTCTGTCACCCAACTATACGTCTTGAACTCATTCCGCTGGCGGCGGCGACGTTGGCAGCAGCTACCAGATGTGCGCTCGATCCTGGTTCACAAGCTGGTTCACCACGGTATGGAGCACGATGAGGCATCTATCAGACTGTGGAGTACGCTGGCACCTTCACGTCTCATGGTAGGTGACTAGAGACACACATAGCGACGCCGTACGGGGCACCACGGTGGTTTTGCTGTTGCCGTTGCTGTTGCTGTTGTTACTGTTGGAAAGACGCACTTGGATGGGCGGTAATACAGGTGGGTTCATTGTACCACAGTGTCGGGGTGATGGTTCGGTGGCGAGCGGGCGAGAGGCTTCAATTTGTACGATCAAGCAAACATTGCCCATGTGTTGCAGGCTTCCTGGTGCTTGACGCCGGCGGATTACAACGACAAACGAGAATGGGAGAGGGAGAGAGGCAGAGAGAGGGGGAGGGGGGGGGGGAGACCTAGGTTCGCTTCGATCGCGAAACAAGAGTTTTTGGCGCCAAGAAATGAGTCGCGAACGAAAGTATGACATCCCAACGCGAAGGAAGCTCCCTCCCATAAGATCTTTCCTCTAAACCATCTCTCCCCATCTCTCGCACTCGACCTTGGTGTGATCTGGCGACGGCGCCGACGACTCCTGAAACAAGGCACGAGGTCTGATGGTGCTGGAGAAGCGAGAGTACGGGTCTCTCTTGAAGGGTCTGGTCGGGAGGATGAGAGACGTGGACGAAGACGTAGTGGACGCGGCGGCGGGCGCTCTCAGGAAGATGTACAGCGCAGGGCCCACCACGTAAGAGCACAGTGAAAGGTTCACCGGCGAGTGTTCTGCTAGGTCAAGACGTGATGTTGAACGAGAGCTGTACAGTAGTACGGGAGGCGGCCCTAGTACTAGCATAGCATTGGGCACAGTGAAGCACGTTGCTCGAGTAACTAGTACTTCATTTCAGCCAAGGGAATACCGCCCAGAACCTGAAGATGTGCAGAAACAAGTTAACATTCTTGAAATGACGCACGTATCCAACAGTCGATTCATGATACATCTACTACATCGGAGTCCCGCCACGTTTGTCATAGAAGGAACATTTCGAAAGGAAAAACCTGGTCTCGCTGTTTTTCGCCCAGGTTTCGAGAGGGTGAGGCATGTCTAGATTCCGTACACAAACAGATCCTCCAGCACTACAGCGCACGGATACAGCGCCAGAGTAGCAGCACCACCAGAACGAGGGACACCACCGCTGAGGACGAGACGGAGGGTCTTCAAGGCAAGAAACGTTTTGTGGCGGTAGCCGATAGCGGATGCCTTCCAGGGGATACCCCAGAGCTAGCTGCATCGGCCGTGGGGACGGTTTCAACGGCGGCCACCGTCAATTCGCCGGCCCGAACCAACCGTGCTTGTTCTTCGTTTTTCTCTCCTCCCGCGAGTGAGTCGGAAGAGGAAGGAACCAACCTGGCGCAATCTTCCGCCGTAACGTCATCTAGTAGCAGCAGTAGCAACAGCAGCAGCAGCAGCAGCAGCAGCAGTAGCAGCAGCAGCAACAGCAACAGCACAAGCAGTAATAGCACTAGCAGCAGCAGTGGTAGCGACGAAGACGAAGAGGAAGATGACGACAACGACGACGACGACGACGACGACAACGACGACGAAGTTGAGACTGGTGACAACGATACAGAAGGTGAAGAACTTCAACGGCCGAAGTTTGAACCGATCGTTGACGGCGTCACCGTCGCGTCGTGGGCCAACCGTGACAGAGAATCACCGGGAGGTACGAGCACCAACGGAGCGGCGAAGACAATAGGGTTAGAACCAGCTGCACCGTCAGCATCAATCTCAACAGCGCGACGGTCCAACAAGGAAAGCAGCACAACACTCGGCAGCAGCGGCAGCAGCAGCAGACTCGTTCCATCATCAAACGGTAGCCTCAACACAAGCACCAACACCGGTGAGGCAACAGAGAAGTCAATCCTTAAGAACAGCATTAGCGTCGACAGCTTGGACATCGACGGCCGTGGTAGCCGGAGCAGGGGAAAAACCGCGCAACTCCACGATCACCATGCCCAACACGAACGAAAGCACCCCGCGCTGGTTGCCTCTCCGACGAGGCCAGTCCTTGCCGACCCGGCGGCCACCGAAGTGCCGGTGACGCTCGGTGGCGAGGAAGAGTTTGGATCCTGCGCCGCTTTCGCCGAGCCAAAGCTTGGCAAGGCAAGAACGGGACGATCGGGAGGGGAAGACGGGACAGGAGCAGCGGTGCTCGGTACCAGCGGTGGCCGTGACCGTGAGAGGGGAGACCGAAATGACGGAGAAGCAACGGCGGCAGTTCAGCCCCCGTCTCGGCCGGATGCTAGCCCTATGAGCAAGGCAGGGGCGACGATTCCGCACCCGCCAGACGCCGGGAGGTCAGAGGCGAAGGAGAAGCATTCAGCGACAGCAGAACGGAAGGCGTCTGTCCCAGCCACCGTGTCAACGCCCACAAAAACGTGTTCGTTGTCCCCTCCACGACCAGGAGAGTCAACCGCAAACCTGTCCCCCAAGACGGCAATGGCAGGTCCTTCAGCAACAGCGGAACAATGTCATCGTCATTCGTCGGCTGCTAAAACCTACTCCGCCACAACCACCGTCAGGGCCAACGACGAAGACAACGTCATGAGCACCGTCGATTCATCGCCAATTCTTCGGGAATTGCTACGCACCCTTGTCGAAGTCGAAGCAGCTGCAGCAGGACGGGGAGCAAAGACCGGCGGTAGCGGCAGCAGATCTCCGGTCGACAAGCCGCCGGCGAAGTTCGAGGGAGTGGCGGCCGTCGATTGGACCGCGTCGGGGACGTCAGGGGTGCGGCGGCGAAACAGGGTAAGGGCAATGGAGACCGCTAAAACAATGGCCTCGAAGGAGACGATGCTTGCCGCGGGCGGGGATGGGGGAGCAATGCAGGATTCGGAATCAACGAGAACGCCCACTCTCCCGCCGCCGCCGTTCTCGCCACCGACTGGAATGATGGAAGATATCCTCGTGGTGATGTTGCGCCTGACCGACGACCCAGACTTTAAAATTGTGAGTCACGTTCAGTGTTGGTTGGGTTGCGTCAATGCTTGATGAGGAGTTAGTAGGTGGCGAGGTGCATTCACTCGTTCAATGTTTTACGTCATGGCATTCTTCTTCGCCTCCCATAGGTGACACCCCCCCGATGCCATTCTTGTCAGGGATAACAGACAAGCTTGATTACAGCTTGCGTAGTCTTGCTGTTGTTGCATGCGGCGCAAATACTATGGTCGCGATGGGCCTATTCGTTTTGCCGAGGGCTTGTATTGACATATTGCGGCCCTTTAATCACTGACCTTTGCACGGAAAGGGCGGGGGTGCTGATGCAGCTTGTGTCTCAACGTTCCACGTCCTAGGTCAACGGCATATTTCGGTGGCCGTCTCGCTATCCACCCTCATCACCTTGCACTGTCTAGACCCATCCTCTTTGAGCGGTACTTGAATAATCCCCCATGCTGATGTTTGAGGACTGTTCGAACCCGCCTTCATCTATTTTTTGAACAGGTGTAGGTTTAGAGTTTGAACTGTTTCCTTGTTAATTGTGATCACCTCACCCTAAAACCAATCATGCGTACACCACCAAAAACAAATTCCAGGCCCTGCTATCCCTTCAGACCATACACGGTTTCGTGCTTGCCGTTCGGGAGCACATACAAACGCACCTGGATCTCCTCATCCCGCCTTTGATCGTGAAACTCGGGGATCACAAGGTAAGCACAACTATGAATCCATTTTGAGCTGCAAAACTCAACCTACTTGGACTTGGGGGTTCTCCGAGGAATATATTTCACCTTGCAGCCCATGGCATCAACCCTACAGATATCCGCCGAAAACACGACTACAAAGCACAAGAGCGTTTCCGGACGCACAGCGCACTAACCCTGTGCATCCTGCTCGTCCACCAACCACTACTTTGCCTCGCCATCCCACGGCACCCCCTACACATTTCATAAAATTCACTCTGCCCTCAATGCTCTCGACAAACGACACTCGCTCACCAACGAACGGCCTCCGTCCGTCACGACACGGAAATTACACATCTACAGGTCGCTGCGAGGCACCACGCGATGTTGGTCCTGTCCGCCGTCGTGCGCGTCTCGGGGCTTGCCTCCGCCACCCCGCGCCTGCTGCTGGCGCGGGAGGGTCTCCTCTCTGCCGGCTGGCGCGCTAGGGAGAGCGTGGCAAAGCTAGTGATTGCTGGCCTGCTATTCTGGCAGCCGACGTCTCCGTCATCGGTGGATCCCGACGCTTTGGGGTTGTCAGCGGGTCGTGGCGTGGCAGGAGAGAAGCTGGGCCGCGGGAGGGGGGCGTTCATGGGCGGAAACGGCGGCGAACGCTTGACAGAAGACGAACATCAGAGTGGGGCGAGGAGACCGGGCAGAGGAGAGGGCGGGAGCGCCGGGAGTGGCAACGGCGACGACAGCAAGAGGAGGCATTTGCATTCCCCGAGTCAATCGCCGGCGATGCCTCTAAGGGGAGCACACGGTTGTGGCCGCCGGAGAAACGGTGATGCGGCGTTGATGTCGACTGCGGATAAGGAGCAGCTCGTGCGTGATGTGGGGTCATTGCTGGCGGACGAAAGGCCAGAGGTAATGATTAACCGTTACGCGAAAGGCGTGGCCCAGTTAGGTCGTTCCTACACGAATCTTACGTATTTCCTGCTAAAGGTCAGTTCGAGCCAACACTGGCTCAAGGATATACGTGTGTCCGGGATGTCTCCCCTCCCCGTGCATGACATCTGGTCAAGGCTTGCCCCCCATCCTTTCTATCCACCGCTCCGCCTTTCTTGTGGTTTTACCCCCGTAGGTTCGACGTGCTGCCGTGGAGGCGCTCGCTGTGGCCGCCAGCATGTGGGGTGCAAACGACATAGACGTGCTTCGAGTGTTAGAGAGAGCGGAGCTTTTCAGGTTCGATATTTGTATCTCCTAGGGGGGTCGTCTTCTTGCATTCACATTAGTGGGTGGTTGGGTTGGCACGTGTCGGTGATGGCCTTGGTCTCAAAGGGGTGTCTCTTGTGCTCTCCTCAGAAAGCTTCCAAGCTCCCCAGGATGGCACAGGTGTAAGATAGATCTCCACCTGCCCTCGTCCAAGCTCCCAGTCGCAAACCTAAAGGGTACCTTGGTTGTAGGTGCGGCACAGTGTCGTGTGAAGAATCCGGGTATCACCAAACGGTTGCCACAGCTGCACTCCCAGTATTCTCCCCTACTGTCTCACCCACATCCATGTTCAAAACTTATTTTTCCCGCTCTATGGAGCTGAAGGTCCCGTTCCCTCTCCTATATCTGGTGTCGCGTGTGTTGATCGTTTTTCATTTTTTTCCTCCTTGCGTGGTAGGTCAAATGAATCGCGGCGCCGTGTGGCGGCCCGGCTACACGACTCGACGTCCTCGCTTCCGAGTGTCGGTCCTGACGGAATCGTCAACTTCGGCGCTGGCCTCACGACGCACTTGTCACCTGCCCACGCTAGACGGGAGCGGCCGGTGATGGCGGCGGTGGAGCTGTCGACGAGCTCGGAGCAGGAGGTCTGGTCAAAACCTATCGATGCCGCTCGTTCTGAAACCCTTGGCCTAATCCTGTTGATGCAGTTCGTTCTGAACAAGTTGCCGTGCCGTGCTTCGCATTCCGAGGGAGCACTTACTTCCAACCCTGCTGTTGACACTGATCTCATGAGTTGCCGGAAACGTCACCGGCAGGCTTTGGAGAGCAGGTGCGGTCATGATGGCAGGGACGTCAATGGCAACGACCACCACAGCGGTGGAATAAGGGGAGGGACGTCCGCGCTCCGCTGCTGGACGAGCAACGAGGCCGGCGAACGGGAAGAGGTTACTCCGTGGAAACCCCACCAAGGTGTGAGTGACAGCGATAGGGGAGGACGGGGAAAGGAGTTGAGTGACGTGGGAAGCGGTGGCCAGAGTCAGGGTCAAGGGATGGAAAACAACGGCGGCGGAGCCCGTGGCGGCAACCGTGCAGGCCGCGAGGGTGAAGGGAGACACCGTGGGCGCGAGGCGCAAAGCTACCGGCGGACAAGAATCGCAAGCGACGAGGAGGAGAGGGGAGGGACGGAATCGGACCCGGCGTTGTCGCCCAACAACCGAGGGGGTAGGGGTGGCGCTAGCGGTCCGCGTCGCCGCGTGTCTTCGCCGGTGCTAGGCACAAACCGCGGAAGGACCGACGGCGGAAAACGCCAAGGGGGTGGTGGTGACCACACCTATATCCCGTCATGGGCGGATAAAACCGGCGACGAGCCGCAAGTCCCCGGCGAGAACCGTTCCTACGACGCGCAACACAAGCCAGATAGGATCGGGCGCGGGCAGCCTTCCATACGGAAACCGTCTCCTTCCGGAGTTGACAGCGAGGACGATCGAGAAGCCGAAAGCACCCGGGGCGAAGTCGGCGGCGCCGGCAGCGGCAGGCATGCCCAACACGGGACCCACGAGCGCCGGCGGGACCGGCGGGGGAGGGGACCCGAAGGTGGGAGCTCCGGCCCAGGAGCAAGTCCGGAGTGGCAACATCAGTACCACAACAGAGGCCACAGGAGACGGGGAAGTCCGCGGGAGGGGACGGACGGCAGCGAGGAGGAGTTGTGGAAGGGGGGCCAGTGGGATAACATCCCCAGGATGGGCCGCACCATTGACGTCGGAAGGAGAACCGGAGGAGACGACGGAGAGGGAGGGGTATGGCGGGGGGGCGAGAGAGATGAATGCTCAGGTCGTCGCCCGGTGGTGGTGGACCCTGATCTATTGTCTACCCTGAAGCGCGGGGGCTCGAGAAACGCAAAGTAAGGGAGGACACGGCGGGTTGCGGTAAGGGTTGAACGGTATGTAGGCTTGGGTTTGGCGGTTAAAATTCCGGGCGCCATCCTGTGCTTGTGTCTTGCTGAAACTGAAAATCAGTGAGTTTGCTGTGATTCTGGGATAGATGCCACCACTGCTGAAAGAGGCTCTGCACGTTTTCTCCCATGTCCGTTCTTAAGCTACATGGTCTGCCTCCCTTTGAAACCTTACCTCCAGACCAGTACCGTACGACGCACCGATTTGAGTTCGCTGCGCAATCAAACCAGACCGACGAGCTGTCAACTACCCAGTTGAAGATAGAGACAGGGCCCTGGGTACATACTCCCCGTAACCGCGGCAGGACGATCGAAACTTCGGAGACTTTGATACCCCCCTCTGAAAACACGCTCCGGAGGACCCTGTACCTACTGCCTGCTGCAGAAATACCCATCCTTCCGCCCGTGTACCAACCCCAATGCCGAAACGGGTACTCCTGCTTCCGGCTAGGGCGAGCCGGCGAGCGGTCAGTGCCGCAGCTGGGGGAGGCGGAGGCGGCGAAGCTCTTGAGAGCGGCGCCGGACGTCGGGCAAGCGGGGGTGGTCCAGCCTCCCTCTCGCACGACGGGGGCGAGGGTCGATCGAGGTCGAGGCCGAAGGGCGGGGAACCTGCCGAGCCTACAACGCCCGTGCCTGTCGGGAGGTAAGGGTGTAAGGGGGTCGGCAACTGCCGCCGTATCGTTCAATGGTTGTTCGTTGTTGTAAGAGTGAAAGGGTGTAAGGGGGTAGGCAACTGCTGCCGTATCCTGCAAGATTGTTCGTTATTGGTTCAGGACGAAGGAGAGAGTGCGATCGTTTGTGTGACCTCGCGCCCTTCTGAATGTATAGAGGTCGAACCAGGAATGTAACGCAGCGCAAAAAATGTGTCACTAGGGTGCAAGGCCTTCTCTTTGTCAAGAAGGGTCTTGTTACAACTCCTCTGGCCTGGGGTGTCATTACCTGATCCACAACGCCAGCTGTGTTTCTGTTGCCTAATTCAATTCAGAACATGACGAATTTCCCAATATAAACCTGAGGCACCGTATTCTGAGGCATACAGCTTTTGGACAAATTGTTTCTGCCAAGCCTTGTCGTCCGGAAGTGAGAAGTTGTACCCCAGTCTAACGCAATAGACGCATCACCACCAGGTACGATGACATGGGCAGGCGAAGCCACATGGAGACCACCGTTCAGCAGCCCTTGCCGCTGTCCCTCAGAAAAAGGGCGGGAGGCGTTTCCGGGAGGCGGGGATCAGGGGGAGGACTCGGTACTGAGGTAGGTCGGCCGTTGATCGCGGGCTCCGAATGTAGAACTGCGCTGCTGCCGTTGTTGCTGCCGTTGTTAGTGCTGTTGCTGCTACCTCCGTTGCTGGTGCTGTCGTGCTTGCTGCTACTGCCCACAGAGCGGAGGAAGCCCATCGGGAGGCATGCCACCATATGCTGCTGCCCGTACTTTTTTATCGAGTACGCACACCCTCCTCCCTCCACACGCGCGAAAAAGACTTTCGTTACAGGAATCGACGTCGACATCCAGGACGGTGGTAGCGGCAGCAGCAGGCATGGGGAGTTGGCGGAGTCACCGCTCGGGGGTCCCGAACCCGAAGGAGAGCGACGGCGAGGCTTCTACAACCAGGTTTGCGGGCATACCTTGTGCTTCGCCGAAATGTCCGCCTCTCACTTGTCGACAACAGGTTCACCGCTTCCCTACCGCTGCTTTTTGTCGTTCAATGTGTCTTCACCCTGGCTGCATTTCTCTTCTCGGGACCACCATACGCTAAGTACGTGTGAATTCCCCGCCCCGTCCCGCCCTTGCCCCTTCCCTTCATTGACCATATCAATCCCGTCAATGGTGTGCGGAAGTCCGCCCAGTACGTACAGTTGTTTTCGTTTCTCGATGGTTTGAGGGGCGTTGTTGCTATGGTAGTTGGTTACCACCCGCTTCATTCAACAATCCGATGACAAGTTTGAAACTTGGAACGGCCCTTTTCTGGGCACAACCCTTGCCTTAAAAACTTCTGTCATCCCCAGACGGGGGTTTCGTCGGCAACCAGGCGGCGGAGGGAGAGGCGGGAAGCGGGGGAAAGGAACGCCGAGGTGCGGATAGAATGGGTTCCCCGTCCACGTTTCCAGACAGTGTTGCTAAGTTCTTTGCTATTGTCGTGTTCCGGCTCTTCCCGAAGGGTTTCCAAATGACGACGGAAACGAAACTGACCTGACACGAAACATGCGTTTCTTCAAAACCTACCCCAAACCTCAAGTAGCTCGCGTCAAAACGAAACTGCGGGGTGGTTTGTCCGTTTCAACTTAGCCTTGAACCGAACCAGGTTCTCCCTCAACATAGGTGCTTGGGGTACCGTTTGCCAAGCAAACGTGAGAGAGTGCCACTATGTGTGTCGTAACTCCGATATTGTCGTCAACGCGTACAGCTACATGCTTCCAAAGCAAGGAAAAACTCTACTTCTATATCTTAGCATCTACCTCTTCCCCGCCGGGATATCTTGAAGCGCGCCCAAGCCCAACCCCGCACGCACTCGAAAACACGCACGCGCTGTTCATGATTTTCCTCTATCTGTGGCCCTTTTCTCGTCGTGCATACATTTTTCTTCTTCCCTTCAATGACGACGGAAAAGAACGAGAGGAAGCTCCGCGCCGGCGTCGAATGCGACGCTACCGGCCGCAACGACGGACGCCACGCGACCGAGGACAGACCGGCGGGGGAGGGCAGTATTACCGGCGGGGATGGCCGTGGCCGTGGCAAGAGAGGAGGGCAGCGCAGGGTTAGGCTGTCATCGCCGCCGACGCCACCGCTGGGAGGGGGACGGGCTACGGTTGTCCCGCCGTCGCCAAGCGCTGCGCTCAACAAGCCAGACTCGTTCGACTACCTCACGGCCGAGGTTAGGGGGAAACGTCGGCCGTTTTGTCTCAAGCTGTATAGTGTGTGCATGGTTGCGGTTAGGTCCGGCGTTGGCCATCTACAACAACAACAACAACATCGAAAGGTTCCAAGTTGTGGTAATATCGACTTTCTGAGCGTGAATGTCAAATGACTAGGACGCCCCTGCATCACACACATAAAGTAGTTGCTCAACTGAGTTCTTTCTCGAAGCGCCCCCACCGCCTTCTGCCGACACGGTCCGGCAAGACCAGGCCATGTCCGTAGAGAAAACTGTCTCTCCTTACTTACGATTCGTTCGACCGTGGGCCATGAAAGCATTCACAAACACACAGCACGTAGTACACATGTGTAGTTTTATCCTGTTGATGCCGTTTCTGTGTTCCGGAGAGTAGCTTAACCTCCCTCATGACCCCCGCTTACGGGGTCCCAGATCATGGCCTTTTGAAGCACTTTGTTGTTTCAACCGCGGTGTTTTCATTGGTCAGCCGGTTGGCGCCGTCGATGCTATGCATATTTATGAAGAAAACACACAAGCACACCCGACGACGCTTTCGAACCCTCGTCTCGGTCCTGGCTCTTTTTCGTCGACCATCACCGCATCATCCACCGGCAGGATATCCGACCGTCTCCCAACCCCAGCCAGGAGCTGCAGAGGGCAATGGCATCGCTCCCTCGAGACGGCTGGCCCGAGATCTTCCACACCCTCAACTCCGTCCGGCGGCTGGCGACCCACCACACGCCCCTCCTCGGCTCGCAGTCCCACCTGCACGCCCTTGTCAGGGACGTGCTCGGGCAGTCCGAGAACCTTCGATCTCAGGTGATAAATACCCTGAATTTCTGCCGCGGCTTGCAGTGATATTGTGTGTGTTTGTATGGGCTCTGCATACTGGGCTCGTCCCTGGTGACGATCCCGTTCCATAGAATTGGGTGCGGAACGTGCATCGCTTGTGGTCCGGATGCGCCCGTGGCTTGGGAAGCGCGAGAACACAAGACGTCAGTCGCACAGGCAGAGAGCTTGCCCGCCGACGAGGGTCGGTGGCGGTGGCCCCGCGTCGGCTTCTGCCCCGACCGTCTGATCGTTTGGTCGATGATAACCGTCTGCGTGTGGCTCAGTACATCCATTTTGTGCCGCGTGTGCTCTAGGTGGCGAAGAACGCGCTTTTGACCCTGGCCGACCTTTGGCGAGGCCTGGGGGACACCCTGGACCCGGAGCTCCCCATGGTGTGCCCGATTCTGGTGAAGAAGATGGCCGACAAGGTCGATTTTCTCGCCGAGGCGGCGCGTGAGGTGGGTGATTCAGTAAGCGAGCGGGATCACGGGGTATTTCGCACGTTGGGTTGGAAGGGGTTGGGGGTAACGCCGACAGGGTGGTCCTGACTCCCGGGAACACGTTTACTCGTGCGGAGGTACACTTGGAAACCGCTTCGGGGTCTACGCACGTGTGCCTGATCAATTCTTCGGCGTTGTTCCCACCGTCGTATACTTCTATACGTTTATTACCTGTGCTGCCGCTTTCGTCTCAAAACACGCTCCCCTCCCCACAATCACATGTTCCTCTCCCCACAATCACCCCGCTTACCATCGTTTGACCACAATAATGAACCACCGAAGTGTGTCGACGAGGTCGTCGCTACCGCCACGGAATCCCGAGCGCTGTCCGCCTTCCTCGCCTGCGGGAGCCACCGTAGCCCGGCCGTCCGCGCCAAGTCCGCGTTGGCAGTCCTTCTCTGCGTGAGGCGGAGGTGCTGCCACCCCACCAGCAGAACGGCGCCATCGCCGTTGTCTGGAGCGGCTTCATCGCGCAGGAGTGGTGTTAGGATCGACAAGCGCAATGGCGGCGGTGGTGGGGCGGGGCATGCTGGAAGGATGGGGGCTAGGGAGATGGACCGGCTCCTGTCTGCGCTGCCGAGGTTTCTCCAGGTGTGACACAGGACACCAGAGGGGGGTACAATCACATGACCGGAAGAACTTTGTCGACGATTGTGATTTCGTAGATCGCACGTGATTGTAATAGTTTCGGTCTCCTTGTGCGATTGCAGTGAGCTTGGAGGATCCGTCTTATTTTCAAGCCAAGTGGGCCCAGCGTCCTTATCATCACCACACGGTCGCTCGACCCAGAGGAAAGACAGCCCGGGCTTCTTGCCCTCCCGCGTTCCCCTTAAATCCCGACGCTTACACGCGGGTTGTCGTGCCGGTACAGCGCGGAATTGTGCTTCGAGGGTCCGTGTCGATGGTGAGATGGGAAGGACGACAGTAAAACCAATGCTCAGATGTGTGCACCACTCTTAATGTGCTGCCTTTCATTGTCGTCTGCGTTGTTTTTTATACGCAGGATGGGAATCAGGAGACACGACACCATGCTAAGGCTGTCGTCACCGTCCTCATGAACACGGTGCGTGGTCGTGTGTGAACGCCTCTTCAAGTAGCTAGGACCGCGCCCACCGGCTGAACAATCAAGGGTCTCCCCTTTTTCGCCACAAAGCACCGTAACAATGAGATAACCCCGACTACCGACGTGCTTTTTTACATAGTCTGCAGCTCAGGTTCTGGAAAATAGGCCGGAATCCAACCCACTTTCTCCATATTCCGGCTTGCACCCATACACCCGTTCGTGAGCCGTTGTGCCACCCTGACCCTCACAATCTCGACGCGTTTCATCGTTTTTCTCGCAGGGCGAGGTGGGCGAGGCTCGGCTCCGAAGAGAAATTCCTCCCCCGATACTGGAACGACTTCAGCGGGAGCTGCTGAACTCTTCCCTGCCGTCGGGCCCGGGCTTCACCGCTACGAATTCTGATGCCGCTTCCGCCACCCCCTATTCTGCGGGGTCGTCGTTCTCCTCCCCTTCCTACCTGAATCGAAGCGGTCGCAACGACGTAGGCGCCAGAATCAGCCGCAGACTCGGCGCCACAGGACCCGTGCCTTCATCAAGTGGGCCCGGGGTCTCTTCGCCTGCAAGCAGCTTTTCCCCGACGGCAGGGCGCCGCGGTGGAAGCGGTGGCGTCGGCGATGGCAACAGAGACCTTAGAAGAAGGCGTGCAGAGGGCGCCGGGAGCGGCGGCGGGGGCGGAGGTAGGGGTGAGGAGAGGTGGGTCGCCGCCGCGCCTGGCGAAAGCTGGCGGCGAGAGCACGAAGGTGCGCGAGGCGAGCTTGGTGACAGCGATGATGATGATGGGTGCGGCAGTGACTTCGCGGGGGGGCTGGGGATGGGGTCGTTGTCCTCTCCCCCGCATCGCGCGTCACCTTCGGTACCTCGATCGAGAAACTGGGCTGGGAGGGTGAGAACTGTTCAGATGTGTATCCTTGATATATAACTTAAACCGAGCTTTGGTTCAGGCGAGCACTCGTAAGGGTAGTGGACATACCAACCATCGCTGCTATATCAATTCGCGACTCCGATGAGGAAATCGAGGAAGTTGGCCCATGTATGTACTACTCCACAAGAGTTGCTGAGGCCTTTAAACCGGGTTGTACCGAAAACATTTCTTCTGAGACGAAATAAACAAGCACGTCACGGTGTTGGCGACGCCCTGCAAACTGGCACCACTCACCGCGCAAAGGTTTCTGAAGAAGTCACAAAAAAGGGCTAGTCCCAACCACTCCTGTAACAACCCGCCAACGGCGTCGCTCCGACAGTATCCGGCTGAAGGTCACGCCGATACCGCCAGGGAAGAACAGCGGCAACGACAGCAAGACGCCGCAGCGCGATATCACCCGCGACTGCAACGGGGAGCGGGCGATCCAAACGACAAGACCACCACCACCACCCCGGCAAGGGCGACTTCGATTTCTTCGCCGGGGAAGGGAGGTATCGGCGAACGGGGCGGCGGAGGCGGTCGCAGCAGCAGCGCAAAGAGGCGTTCGAGCAAAGCCAAAGTGTTTCATTGTCGGGAAGCGGAACTGCTGCCAGAGGTGTACGCCCGCTTGGACTCGGGGGACTGGAGGGAGCGTCTGAAAGGGCTGGAAGAGGTATGGTAGACGCGTTTTTGGTCGTTGTTTTGCATTAAGTGTAAGGTCGTTCAGATACACGTATTTCTTGGTGGGGGCTCATGGCCCTGAATCATGTACCGTGCGAGTGCGAGTGGTCGCACACCCCCTACACCGAAATCCATTTCTCGACTACGGTACGAAACCCGCCCAATACATGCAAGGAATACCCCGACAAGATCATTCCAACGCCACCTTTCGGCGTTGGCAACCCCCTGATTAGGGAGCAATCGGGCCATGAAAGTCGGTCTAGTCGTGTGCAATCACACCCACATTGTACACGTGGTGTGTTCGGGTGACTCCTTGCTGCTGCTGTTAATGGTCAACTCGGATCTGGAATGGGCGAGAGCCCGAAAAGTAATGCGAGCGTTATGACCGCGGACTTCGATCGGTTCAGAGTTCGGTGTAGAGGGCATCATATTCTGCACTTTGTCTCGTGCCAAACCCTTGGTGATAACATGAATGAAGACAACCAGGACCGTTAGGCATATATCTGTGCCGCCGCAAGCAGTCGCCGTACACTGTAGGTTCCATCCTTCGTCGGTTGTACGAGAGGTCGGATACGAAGTGCAGCACTGGGGAGCACCATTGTAAAGGGGTACCAACTTTTGTAAACCAACCGTGATGCGCGCGAGCGTTCGAAAGAAATGAGGATATCTGAACCGCAGCGAAGTGGAACTGTTTGCTGCGGGTTGAGTTTATCGTTCGCATGTTCTAATCTAGGCCACTTCTCTGCTGGAGGAGCACGGGAACAACCTCCATGCCGCCGGGAAGTCGGCTAGGCTCGTCGACCGCGTTGCGGACTTACTCTCCGATGGAAATTTGAAGGCAAGTACAGTCGGTGTTGGAGTTCAACTTGTTCAGTAGACACCCGCTTGGTCACACCAGGTGATCTCTCTCGGTGTTCTAAACGCGCGACGGTCTCGAGTTCTAGGCAGTGGATAAATTGAATAAACATGCAGTAAAACTTTATTCATTCCCGTGGGCTACGGTGTGATTCAGGTGAACTTGCTTGCCCTCGAGGGGGTGGTGCGGCTAGGAGCGAGCATGGGGAGCAAGCTCGAGCCGGTGGTCAACACGCTGGTCCCCGCGGTGTGCAAGAACCTGGCCTCTTCGAACCAACAGGTGCCTCGAAAGATGACGATCATCATTCGACAAGACGATGCCACTTGTTTTTCCTGCGTCTTTTGTCATCCAGTTTCCAGAGGGCCCTAGACTCTTCCGTGAATAGAATGATTACTCACGCCCTCCCCGCCCGTTCCGTTGCCGTCCGACAATATTCCATGGCGCTTCGGCATGCTGCGAACTCATCGCCCGGCGGTTGTGTTGTCCACCACGTCCACCTTGTCGTCGCGGTCTGTCTTGCTGTCAGCGGGTTGCGTTGGCCGAGGAAGCGCTCGACGCGCTGTGCGAGGCCGTCGACCCCTGCCTCTTCGTCCAGCCTGTGGCCTCTCTTGCACAGTACGGCAACGCCCGCTTGAAGGTAGGGACCATTGGTGCTGAGCAAGCGTCTGCGCCGTGTGGTACTGCAGGCACACCAGACCGCTGCTCTGACGTTTTCAGTCTGAGCGGTCATGTTGCTTTAGTAAGCACCGGAGCAATGATGGTGCTCGAAGATCGTACATGCATGCAGATGAAGCGTTGAGCGCTTCTATACACCTGTAGCACACGGCAACTCCGAGCGTCTACTCTCCAGCCCTATTCTTAGTTTCAACTTCGTCGGGCTGCGCCGCCCCCTGCTGGTAAATAGTAAGCAGTGACAAGATGATAGTGGCAAAGCCACCAGGCCACAAGCGACGCTGGGTCAACCAACGAAATAGCAAAGTCATTTCTGCCTTCTTCGCGCCTGGTTAGACCCACATCTTCGATGCATCCCACTTGGACATTTTTCGTCGCATTCTCCAAATAACTTGGTCCGTCTTCAGTTTTTTTCTCAGGGCTTGGGAGTTAATCCACGCTAACCTCCATGTCTGTGTCTGTCATTACATTGATGGGGCGGCATTCTTCCTGAAAAGGTCCCCATGTTGGCCTTCCTGAGGGAGATTACGCCAGAAGTCGGAGACGTCAAGCCGATCCTTCTCACAAAGTGAGTGTTGCGCGCTCTCCCTCCTTGCCTTTGATATCCGCTGTGTGCAGTAGTATACCCCGTGCGAGATTCGAAACTCATTGATATATGACTTCGCCAACCCTAGCCCTCCCAAATATCGAGGGCCATTCTTTGGCGTGAGGGAAGTTTGGCCAGCGATAGTTTAGCTCTACTTGCCGCCGATTTACCCCTGAGAGCATCCCCCCACCTCGTTCAACAGCAACAGCGGCAGCAGAAACGGAGGTAGGGTATGTAGGTAGCGTATCCGAGGCCTGCTCGTGAAATAGCGCGCAAACCGCGATCAACTGTGCACACCATGCCCGCATAGCATCGTGGGCGTGCACCCGAACGGCACAGATACCGCAGCCGCGTGCTATTCCACTTACTCCCACACCCGGCAACCAGAAAGCATCGACCAACATGAAGTTATAAGGTTGGCTTGCCTCTCGTAGGGTGTGCTCCAGGTGGATTGAGAGACACGAGGGAGATAGGGCCCGGCCAAACTAATGGTATATTTTATCGAGAGAGATGGGTTGTACTGAAAATTTGGTAATAGAAGTATCTGCATGCCCAAGGAGCCAACGGCCCCACGCTGTGGAGGCATTTGAACCTTTTTACGACCTCCCCCTCCTACTGCAATGCCGACCCAATGCAGGTATGTTCGGCCTGCGGCTCTTTCGCTTGTAAGAGAAAACCACCCCAGTGTTCGAGACGCGGGGCTCTCGCTACTTCGAGCGGTAGAAGTTGCGCTCGACCCGTCTTCGATCTCGTATTCCCCTTCGAGAGTACGTCGCAGTAACAGCAGTGGACAGAATGACGAACGCAGGGACAGGGGAAGCGGGGGCGGTAGCGGTGGTGGTGGTGGTGGTGCCAGTGGTAGTAGGGGGGGCGTACGGGGAAAAGATAAGTGGAGACGGGAGGATGATTCCGTAGCCGGGCGCATTCGAGACCTGCGGCAACAGGAGGAGGCGTATCCTCAGTCGGTGTCATCGGCTACCACCACGAGCAGCAGCGATGACTACCATCGCCAACTAGGCAGGGAAAACCCTAGGGAAAGGTTTGGTCGAACCAGATAGTGGAGAGAAACCCCAGCTTCGGCTGAAAGGAAGAACAGGGATGGATGGTGCGTTCGTTCGGCCAACCGTTTGTTGTGATTTCGGTCGAGGGTATTTTGGGGTGTATTGGAACTCTCCACGTGCATTCAGTAGGGCTATAAAGCCAAGGTCGTCTAGACTATGTTTCACCCACTCTTTCACGGCAGCTGGGCAGGAAATAAGGACATGCATTTTTCGGGTGGGCTCTATGTCTTCTGAGGAACGGACGTATATGTCAAATAGCAAGTGCCATGAGATGCGATGGGGAGGTCCTGACAACTGATGAGGGGCCACAACAATTCATTGTGCCACGGCAATGTCAGGGCATATTGCATGGCAGTAAAATGACGTACATCATGAGCACTCAATACATGGTCGTGATAAACTCATGCCAATACTCACGCCGAAACCCTTTCGTTTTCAACGCCATATGCTTTTTTGAGCTATAGTAAACAACCGCAAGGGTCCCGATGCATACCAAAACCACCCTGAGAAAGTTGAACTAGTCCGTTGGTCGTGGTGAACTTCGTGTTGGTGCTTCGACACACCGCGAGCCAGCCGTAATGCCGATTGTCCCAACGGTTCTTTCGCACAGGATACTACCTCTTCCTCCCGGGATAAACAAGTTGAGTTATCGAGGAGCTACTCACGCCAAGGGCAACCTTATTTCCGCGGGACGGAAAATCGGATCATATATTCGCACGCTTCTGAAAAAAAACGACGCGTAATATATAGTCTACAGAGTAAATGCCCCGAATATCGCTCAACGATCAATGCGTTCTATTTCCAAATATAACAAGTAATTTACGTGTCCACGATGTTCACAACTGGCTCACAGGGTCACTGCTGAGCCTTGGCTGGCCCATTGAATACAACACGAGGAGAATATGCATACCGTTCAGCGCTCCCGGCCCGAAATTGTTTTTCAATATTGTAGAGCTCTCGGTTCCCTGTACAAAGTCGTGACCTGATATATCTCTCGAAGCTCCCTTCCGAACAAGCAGTGCCTCGGTTCACATCAATCGGGGTACTCCGCCGAATCACAAAGGCATTCCGACCGTGCCTTCATGGCATCGGGAAAAGACCCGTGGACAGGAACGCTCTCCCGCCTATGGCGGTTGACGCCTGAGACCCACTTCCCCCCGCCATGATTGGGTTGGTGGCAGTTGCTGCGTCGCCCTTAGCTTGGAGCGTAGTACGGTACACCTGTTGGATATAACGGTTTCGCCAGGGGTTGCGGACCGTCAACGTAGGAAACGAAATTGAAAATATTCATTTTTAGTGGCCCATCTGGCTTGATCAAGTGGATGTAGTCCTTCGTCACACAACTCAAGCCCTCACCCAGAAGCTGTCCCTGACATGAAATCATGAACAATTTTGAAGGGGCGCTTCGGCACCGCTCTCGAGTTACAAATGGTACAAAGAGTTGAAATATCCAGCAGTGGGCAAAATCAGAGAATGCGATTCACCGAACGTCGATCGGTATGTGTACGAGGTGTGGTAGCTCCACTACGTAAGACCAATTCAGTCAGAGCTTGTTCAGAAATTGACAGATCAGTGTCTCTCCGACAATCACTAACACTGGATCAACATGGGGATACATATTCCTACGGTACTTGAAACCGCTGCCAAGAAACGTAAAGAACCCACGCCACCTTGTGAATGGCTTCTTCCCAGCGCCTCACGAATGCCGGGCTGGAGCCTAGCTTGAGGAGTCCAAGGGCCTTCCCGACAAACCTTTCCGCCTCACCCGGTCGGCTCATCTCCAACAGCTGCAGCCCGAGGTTGTAGCACTGCCAACACACAGGGTGCAGCAGAGGCCTCGGGTTAGAAGGTTTTTCACATCCGTTGGACATGAGGCTGTAGCATCAAGATGAAACAGATACTTGATCCTCTCTTGGTTTAGAGTATCGGATCTCGACCTGGTTATTGGAAATCGCAGTCCTTCGTTTTGCCTCCAGCTCGATTGCATACATTTCTATTTTCGCGATGACTCTGGCCGGTTCTAGAGACTGCTCCGCGTACAACAAGCTGCCTTGGCCATTAGTCACGCCCACTCTCAAACATGGTGAGAGCCTTCCATAAAAGGGCTTCCTACGCGACACGATTTCGTCCTAGCCGCGGGGAGTGAGCACGCTGGTGCTTCGCCTTCGTTCACTCTTACATATACCTTGGCAGACACATAGTCGACGTCCTCGGACGGCATTCCTGGGCCTTCCTGAAGGTCTCTGGACTTCGCCGTGAACTCGTCGACGACAAGCAGTGCCTCGTCCTGCCAACACAACGTGTCACATATGGCAGCAACTCATCAACGCGAAGAGGGGGACCCGAACGTGGGAGCAACAAACGTCGCAAAAGGCGACTGTGCATGATAGTCTGCAGCCGGTGAACACCGTCGCTGTGCCCTTATTTCTCTCTGCTCTTTCCTGGCATGGTGGTGGGCTGTGGTGCTTACCCGACTCGAAGCTGACACCAATAGCCGCCGGTAAAATCCCCCAAGGGCGCAGGTGTCGACAGGGTCTTCCTCGACACATCGCCTAATGCACAGGCGGCACAATCCAGCTGTCGACTTGGCATCGTCTAGCATGTCCTCTGCGAGCTGTAACAGCCAAGAACCATGGACCAGAGAATCCTTAGCAGGAACGCTGTAGAACGCGCGCTCTGTTAACGGAGGCATGCTGACTTCAGCAAAGAGGGGGAGGAGAAACCTCTCAAGTGTCTGTACCGAATACAGAACTTTCACCACCATGGGGTAGAACGGATGGTGTGGTCGTAGTCTGGGGTAACAATATGCTGTGTTTCCCCTGTGGTAGACGCTGCCTTCCTCGCCTATTATTCAAAACGAGCCTCTCAGCTGCTGCTTCACGAAGAAGGCGCAGGGCTGGACGCGTCAGTTTCGCTTTTCACCGATTAAACCCCGTTCGGTCGCCGGAGACCAAACGTGACGGGCAATGAAGGGCATCTAGAAGGGCCCACGACAGACAGCCTGCGTTGCGATGTTGGTTGTTGTGGGTAGCTCGCACCTGCAAGCAGTACTGCAGGAGGTTGGTGGAGCACCGAAGGAAATCGGGTTCTCGGCTGGCTACAAGCGAGCGCACTGCCACAAAGTCGCCAAGCCTGCCCAGCACACTCATCTCTGCCACAAGGAGAATTGATCGCATCTGCGTGCGAATAAGTGCCGATTGGATACGGATTGGTCAAACAAAATCGTGTTCATCACGAAAAAACCAGCACACCGCACTTCCGACATGTACACGTTGTTTCGAGTGCGCGAGAGGCTGCAATGCATAAGGCAACCTCTGTATTACGGGAACTTTTGCGCGAACAGTGCAAGGGGAACCGGCGCGCGAGGAAACCTCGGTTGGTTTGCAGCAGCGGGATCGCTGCCGTCGGGAACACCTTCATCCCATGCACGAGGGGAAAATCTGGACCGGGGAACCGCACCCCCACCAAGGGGACCAACGCTTCTTTCTCAACGCCTCCGGGGTGTTCTTGGAAGAGGATTGCCCGGAACCACTTGCTTATGGCCATACCTCTGTAGCCATGTCTGGTTTAACGTCACTCAGGAGGCGGTTGAGGCCGGTGGCAACCTCCACTTCCTTCCGTGACCGTTCGAGCATGTCTCGCCTGAATCGGAAAGAGATGGTTGTTTTAGTGTGCGATCATTGGACATATTCTCTGAAAATGCTCGCAAACCGAAACGGCGGCGAGGAACGTCGGCTTCCCGCGGGGAGAGAATTTTCAGGTTAGAACAGTGCCATGATAGGTTTCAGCTTGTCGTGAAGACGGTGTCAAGAGACGTGTTAATTCGTTGATCAAGACAAGCGTTCAATCTCGTCGCCATTTCTGCCACTTGAGTTCGCCCAAGAAGGCAACATGAAAGTTGGAAATCTCTGGACCTTTCATGTAGTGGATCTGATCGGGAGCGATCGAAACTTTGACTATGCCCACCAGGGTAGCTGTCAAGGTTCATGCACAAACGTCAACATCTGAAAGACACCGGGCGCGCAGAGGGATTTGTATCATACCTTTCAGACGAGCTCGTTGTGGCGTTGGCGAGTGGCGCGCCATCGACCTTGACACAAGTTTGTTCACCAACGCATCACCATTGGAAGGGAAAGGCGCAACGTTCGTCACGGGTGGGTGGACTCACGGGCACACTTTCTCACAGTGCCAGCGAATGTTCCTGCAGGGTCAGAAGCTAAGATTGGAGAAACCTGGACGTCCCAGGCTAGCATCCTCGATGATATTCCAGTGAGAATACTGAACCACCAATTGCTGTGAAGCCAAATGAGGCGGCAGCGTCTTGCCTGAGTTTCATGACATCAGTCGCCGGGTTCTATGAAACACTATCATCTAGCAAGGCCGATCGAAAAACTCACTGGTTTGGAGTCATACAGCTCTAATGTTGCCGCGATGCTGAGAACCACGCAGTTCTGCCTTCTCAAGAGCGCGTCTTCCATGTTGGCGTCCGAACCAATTTCTGCCCAGTTTCGCGAAGCCTGCCTCGCGAGAAAGGGTAGAGTATGCGGCCATGTATGATACGAGAGACTGTGCAGAGGCGTCGAATGTGTCAGAATGCATGTGGTACGTCCTACTTCTCTCTCGCAAAGTTGCTTGATACGTTCGCCAGTTTGCTATGTGGGAAAGAAGGAGATGTCATGTGTTCAAACTGATTGTTGTCATCGCCTAGGCATGATCCACTACTCATTTGAAACGAGTGCAGCACACTGCTCCAAGACGACAGTGAGCATCGGTTCACTGGGCAAGTCGTCACGCTCCGAAATGACCACCACGTTGACATGAGCGCAGCGTACTAGTTCCAAAGACGTTGAGTATATCTCACAGAGCAAGCGGAGACAAGCAGAGACGAAAGTGCGATCAATAACAACGAATCACCCCACGAGCAAACCAATTCCACCAACCTTGAAAAACGCTGGGGCCAGCACAAGAAGGTCGTTCCGCTTTCTCTCTGTGTGGGTGGCTTCGTCGACAGACATCTGATCTTTGCTTGCCGAGCTCCCGACTTTGTCACCCCACGGTAGGTCACAATTCGACCCGCAGCATCTAACCGCGAGATTCCAGCAACCCTGCAGATGGGGGCCCGGAATGCGTCGGGACACGGCCTCAATGTAGGCAGTTCGGGGTTGACGAAGAGGTATTCTCCTCTGTGCCACAAAGGGTCAACAACACTACAGAAATGCAGGCGGTTCTCAGACTCTCAGTGACGTAAGGTGGAGGTCGGAGAAATCTTCCCGGCCTCCCGATTTAGCATTTTCGATGTCCATCAATCTCCCTTGGAGGACACAGAACAAGATCATCCTGTTCGAACCCGATCTATGGGTCAAGGTGAGGAAGACATGACAATCAAAATTGGGTCTCCATGGCCTTCCTCACGTGAGAGAGGTATCGAATGTCCGGATCATCCAGGGGGCCGATGCCGAGGGAGCCGGCACGCCGCAGAGTCTTGTCGACGGAAAGGAGAACCCTTGAGAGAACCGAGGCCGCATCCTCTGCAGAGCCGCGATGAACTTTTATCTCTTCCTTGGAAACCCACTTTGGGGTTCGTACCGCCGAGAAGGGGGTGGAAAGATGTAGGGGGGTCACGTGTGCGTCATGTGAACAGTTGCAGTCATTTTCGACCTATCCACGCAACGAGGGCGAGATCACGATCCAACATTCCCATGCGCCACTTCACGCTTCCCGCTACCTAAAAACCTAAATCGAACGCTCTGGCATTTGCTTTCATTTTCCGAGTGCCGCGAGAGTCGACGTCACAACCTGTCGAGGTGGCACCGGAAAGCGATCGTGAGATTTGATATCGGTTGTTCACATCCCATTGTTGCATATTCTGATCATCCCAGCACGGCGTCCGCGGGAGTCCCCTTACCTGGAGTGCGCTATCTACCATAGATGCCACGACTTGAACGGCGGTAGGAACGGGGTCTGTTCCATTTCCGTTCGAACCTGCCGAGCGGTTTCCAGGCGGTGTTGCGTCGGCTCCTGTGCGTGCGACAGGCACGTCGCCCACATCCTCATCGCCTTCGCCTTCAACTACCATCGGGGTTGGAGCTATACCTCCGCAATCCTCTCCTGCCCCTCCGACGGGTGCAGATCCGGCTGGCCCATCCTTGTCTGATCCAGCCTCGTGCGGCGTCGATGATGTCGATGGTTGGGCCTGGGTGGGTTCCGCTTCCTTTTCCATGTCGGTTGTGGCGGGGGCTTCGACCAGAAGGGCCTCAAGGAGGCGTTCCTGGACCATGGTGACTCGGCTATCGTACCTCGCGTTGCCTGCGTCGCTCTCTCCACGTTGGTCCGGGTCTGCCAGTGGTTCCAGACCATGCCAGGTGGGATAAACCAATCAGCGAATTTCATTGTGTACTCGCAAGCAGAGATCATCCTGATAGTTGCATTTCTTCTCAACTGAGCGCGCGGTTCCACATTACGCGCGGTTTCGTCGCCATGCCAATGCATACGACCGATCAATCAGTGTAGCCGACACGGAACTGTATAGTACACAGAATGAGGTCAGCAACGTGGGGTCACACCTTGGGTCGCTTTTCGAACTCCAGCGACAAGCCCCACGCATGTTGCGAGATACTCTCGTCGCGCGCCTGGGGTGAGCCTCGCTCGAGGACCCGAGAGCGCCGAAAGTCGAGCAGATAGCGAGCTCTCGTCCCGGTTCGGATCACGCGCTGCCGACCAGAAGGCGACCTGCAGTGGGGAGGGGTAGACTTGCTAGGTTGGATGTGGCCAGCCTATTGGTACAAGTTTCGTTCGGCAAGGAGCGCGTGGGTTCATGAAAAGCATGAGACTATCGTGCGAATTCTTTGCAGTGTCTCGAAGAGTTGCCTTCAGCCAACGTTGTTTGAGTCTGCGTCGCCACCCTCAGCTCTTCAACATAGACTTGCCTTTTGCCATAAGCATGACGCCGGTGTACATGGGTTTGTTGTTTTCTACTCGGGGAATGCCCGAGAAGTTGCTTTGGACCTATCAACGTGTGCTTCGTTTTGTGTCTCTGCTCAATTTGGACCGCAACAATAATATTCGCTCATATCCTACCCGCCGGCCTACATTCTCCCCGTGGGTCCTCTATGATACAGCGTTTTTCTGCGTCGTGAGGCGTTACAGCCAGCCGGAACCACATAAGGCGGTCGGCTGCAATCAGATAACTAACCTCACGTGCCCTGCCATAGGTAGGACACAGTGCCAGGGCTTGGTCGAGTGTTTGGCTGCTCGAGGCGAAATCGCCTGTTCGACACTCCATCTCCCCTTCGAAAATGATGCGAGTGTCAAAAGTGTGCTCACGTCAGATAGTCAACCATGTTCAGAGAGGTTTGGAGTAGCTCTGAAATCAGCCGAAATAAGACCAACTGAAGAATGGAATGGTGACGTCAGACGACGGAAAGTTGCGTTTCGCGAGCCACGCGCGACGTTGGACACGAGGAATGATGACGAGTGATTTGTTTGGTGGTGTGTATGGAGGTTATTTTAGCTATGCTAGATGCGCAGACATTCACGCGAATTCAACAGGTCGTGGGGAATTATGCTCTCGACTTAACAACCCTTCCAGGTATCAGGGCGGGGCAGCTGATACTCCGTAAACGTGGTTGGTTTGATACTGAGAATAAAGCTATAAAAAATATTGCTGAATAATGATGCGTACGGCATCGGCCATGTGATACTGGGTAGGAAGACTGCAGTCAGAGCGAAGGACTTAGCCGTGAGCCCCTAAGTGAGCCCCAAAGACAGTGGGCCCCTAAGACGGCGAGCCCCAAATTCGTTAAAGGGACCCCGATACCAAAAGACTGAACGTTTGGCTGAAAATTCACCTCTGAGCGTCAACAGGCTCGCAAGCAGCAGGGACGCCTTGTCCGCGTGCGGGACCCTCTTTGGCGTCGACCCTTTCGAATCACCCGTCGCGAGGTTGATCGCCCTTCCGCACCACCGGGCACATGACTCCCACTTATCACGTCCTTGAAAGAACTCAGTGAACGTCACCAGAACCTCGAGCGCGGAATCGACCTGCGTGGTGGAAACAGTTGAGATCAACAATCCCTCTTGGCCGGGTTTACACAATGTGTGCTTCAAAGAAGCTCCAACAAAAGGGCAAAGTCATGACGCACATTCGGGCCGCAATTTGATCTGCTGTTCTGTAAAACTCTCCATCGTGTGATACAACTTAGGTCGGCACGGAGCGTATACGTCTTGAAATATCTTGCACTACCTTAGAAACACTTGGCCAGTATAGAGGTTAGAGATGTTGAGGTGTTGGTAACAGCAATGTCACTTGTTGGACACACTTGATGATACTATGTCTAGGAAAATTGACAACAGATACTTGGAACCCTTGATCGTCCGACCTCATCAACGAGCTGGCGGAGACGTATTTCCGATGTCCACCAAGGGCCTATTGTGATCGACATCGCGTGACATGTTGCATCATGCAGAGTAAAGCACGCGTTTCGCAGCGTCATTGCCAAAACTCACCTGGTACGTGGCTACATTATTGCACCCGGAGATCTCGGCAATCATATCGTCGGCTGTTTTCTCCGCACGCCCAACCGCTTCATTTTCTGCCGTCGCCGCAGCTGCGGAACCCTTCTCATGTTGGCCGTCGGGACTCCACCAGCCAGCGCCGCCCCCTTCAGAGCGTAGCCGCGCGGCCATGGCAAGCCCGCTGAGAAGAGCTACCCTCGCGTCCACAGCCTTTGGCGTCCCAGCGAATCTGTTGTGAAGAGTTGAGAAACGAACTTTGGAAAATCAAGTCCCAATGTTTCTACTTCATTTTCCTTTCCCTAGAGTATTCTTGAGGCGTGTGTTATGTTTTTTCTTTATTGATACGTTTCCTCGTAGGTATACGCGCGACAAAAAATAGGTGGCAGCACAAAGAGCAGCGGAAGGATACTCGCTTTTCCAATGTACCGGAATCAATACGCCGACATATGGTGCTTGCAGTGCCCGATGCATGCTGCTATTGCGGTCGTCGCATCCTACACCCTTTCTGGCGGCAGATTATGATCTGTCGGTCAAACCTTGAAGCTATTGCGGCGAATAGATCGAGACTCCGGTCGGAGCAATCGTCTCTTGATGATATCAACCGTGCGGCAGCGAGATCGAGGCCGTCTTCAGGTTCACCATCGCCGACGCCCGCTGTTGGCTTTCCACTTGGTGCAGGGGTCAAGGCGACGAGGGCTTTTGCCGCCGTGTAAGCCCCTGTGAGATCGCCGGCGTCCGTCAAAACCTGGAAAACAATTTAACGGGGGTGCTATCATCCGTGAGGGAGCCCGTGAACAAGAGAACCGACAGGTTGGTGATTTCAGAGGTACGAGTGGAGGTGACCTACTGTAACCATTTTCCCTCACGGTCATCGACCGTAACTGGCAATAGATGGGACAGGCTTGAGTGGACGCATCGACAAGCCGTGCCATCCACGATCCTCGCCGCCGACTACAGCCCACGCGTTAAGCAATACCTTGCACTTGGCGAAGAGAAACTTCGGAGGCGGATCGGTGCCCCCTCCTTTGGCGCACCATCCACCACCTTCCTCGAGGTGCTTGATGAACTTGATGGCGTTGTTGTGATCGCCGCTATACCGGAGAAACCACCAAAAGGCACGAGAGGAAGGGAGCAAGCGTGTCAGCGAGGAGAGAACCTTGACCGTACCGACTTGCGTCTGCGTATGGGGTCGGTTTCGTATCCTGATCATTCCGGCAACCATTACTCAGCCAATGGTTGGTATGGACATCACACGCCACTACGGTACCCATTCGTTACAGGTTTGGTCGTCGTAATCATATTGCCTCGGAACGAAGGCGAAGCGAAGATAGTACAAGCTGCTTCTTCCAACGTTTGAGGGCCGGGTGATAAACAGCTGTTTGCTCAACATGCCAAGCAGGCTCGGTTGTGATCGTCATATCTAACGTCGGTTGAAATCTCGACTTGCTCACTCACACCATTCTGAAGAAACATCGTGATGTGTTCGGGCCAAATCAAGGAAAACGGGTCCTAGCGGCCACCAATACTCAATTTCAAACCCGTCTACCCGCGCTGGCTTCCTTGATCTATTGAGCATTAACCGCTTTTCAGCAACTCGTAAGTCTCCAAGAGCGACGGCTGTTCGAGATATTCCGAGACCAGATCTTCAGAAACGTGCCCTGTGGTCAAACGCCAACCGAGTGAGGAGATTGGACGGATGGGCGTAAGGTTTCACCAACATGGCTAGAGGGCAGACCTTACCTTTTGCTGCAACAGTGAGCGAGAGAGAACAGGATCGTTCTACGTAGTTTGCCAGTATGAGCGGCTTGAGGGTCGGATGCTGTGGCCGTTGGTCCCGATCCCACGTCACCTCCTATGGCTTGTAAAGCTAGCCTGCAAATGGATGGCAGAACGGATCGAAGGTAAGCACCATCAAGCGTGGCATCTATCTGACACTCCCATCTCATTTCACCCATTTGGCATCCGACTCTTTGCTGGTCTCTCAGTCACTTCTACCCACATGAGTTTAAATGGTCCCGCCACGACGTATTCGTTTAGAATTTTCGATATTGACGTCGAAGCTGGTAAAATACAAAACCCGACAGGATGACACGCATAGAGTCACCCAAAGCAGAATTCACTCCGATACACAGCTCTCACACAGTTGTAGATCCGACCGGAATCTAACCACTATTCCTTCACACAGCTACATGACACGCTATTACCGTCACAAGCCAACCATCGGTCAACTTACCAAGTGCTGGCGATACACGACAATAGCCCGAATAGTGCACGACGCGGTGTCGGGGGCACGTCGAAAGTTTTACTGTGCGTGACCCATGTTTTCGTTTTGCACCTTAGGATCCTTGACGCCCCCCGGCAATCTCCCTTCTTGAACCTCTCCTCGCCGACCGAGGCGGCGTGTACAGCGGTGCTCATCCTCAAGCCCGCGGGCGATCGTGCCGTGAGGATCTTTAGTTGCCACTCGTAGCCCTCTACCATCTGTCCGATCATATGTTATTGCGCATTGTGAAGGGTGCCAACGTAGACTTTGTGCACGGGAAAGCGTAGACGAGTGCAGTGTGGCGAAGCGAAGGAGTCACGAGATCGGCATACTCAGTAACCCGTAGAGGTCGCATTCGCCTCTCAATCCGATATTTTTTTCCCCCAGGAATCAAGTGAGTATATCGACGGAGCATACCTGATCGACGTTCCCTGTCGTTCTGCTCAACACCTCTATCCGGCGACTCGATGCCTTGTGGACAGCCATGATGAGGTCTTCCGCCGATAGCGAAGGCATGCCGAACTTCTGCCATCCAGTCGCTGCTTTCGTCGACAACAATCAATTCGCACGCAAGCTCGCAACATCAACTGGCGTGAGCCGTGCCCACAAGTCCGGTGCTCCGAGTTCCAATGATTTTCTACACAAAGTAGGGAATTGGCGCACGTCAGGCAGACGGCACTGAGAACATCGGAATTTACATCAAGACTACGCTGTCTATTGACTCCCGAGCACTTGCCGTAGAAAGAACCCGGCAGTCGAGAGAAGTACCCTTCCGCGTCTTCAAACATTTCCAAGGCCTGCAGGAGGTTTCATTCAAGCACAAAAACGCCTTAGCGGGGTGCTGCAAAAACGAACGTATACGAGTAGACAACATATATTTAGTAAATCGCAAAGGTCACTACGTTAAGATGGCAGTGAACCAGGTGTCGAGAATCAATGATTATTACTCGTACGTATGAACTGAAGGTACTCTAGGCGCCAACTTCGAAATTTCGAAGAACTTGCATATTCAGTAATGTGAAATACCTCCGTGCTGGTTCAACAGATTCTGGTCAGGAAGTTAGAACGGGCTGCACGGCATTTCAATGATTGTCGACGAAACGGTGCGGAACAGGTCTGATGGCGTATGCCCCGACGTTGATGTGTCATGAGTTAGTCAATCCAATGACGGTCGGAAGGGAGAATTGTCGACGACCGTGAAACTTATCTTCCCCCAATACAGACCGAACGAAAAACCTATCAAGCCGGTCGTCATGACCCTGGACTCGTGCTTCAGTTAGCGTTCAGAACTCAATCAGAGATGCGTGTCGGTTGCACAAGTCGTCCTCGGTTTATCGACTATCAGTACAACCGAAGCTCCCGAGGTCCCAGCTCAACATTCGATGATATGATCAGATGCGTCGATGAAAATGACACGTCGAACTTGCCCGAATGTCATCTCCAGCATCTTCAACCAAGAGCTCCCCGGCTTTCGAGAAAAGACGGCAGAGGTTTCCACTGTTGGCGCGGGGTGCGGCACGGTAAAATCGGCAAGCGATTCACACAAGGAAATGAACATGCATAAGGAACCATGCGAATTTCACCGGATGCAGTCGCACGAGGTTCTTGTAGCTAGGGGTGAAAGCCTACAAACCTCCCCCTACAGCAACACTTATCGGACATCCAGTCACTTCTACTCATGCTGTGCAGGTATTCCATTGCCTTGTCCACAAAGAGTGAAAAATTGCAAATTGAGGCCGACTCGACGGCTAAAGGCAGCCAGCTGTGGTGCACGTGGCGTGCGTGCTCGACGCTTGCCCACCAATCTTTTGAGGAAGACGTCGACCCAAGGGACACGAGCGAAGCAGCTGCCGCGCGTAGGTAGGCTTCAGTCGCGCTCTTCCAGTCGCTGCAAGCACCACCACCCCCGGATGTTCCCCCGCCGCCGCTGTTTCGGGCATGGGAAAGCTTCCGGGCGTTGTTGTGAAGCTGCACTCCTCTCTAAATGAGATACATGATCCAGACATCACAGCGCGGGTCCAACCGTATTTAGAAGTATATATCATGGTTAGCCGTTCATTGAACCCCAATGAATGTATAGCGGAAAGAATGTGTATCACAATAGCGTACTCGCGCCTTGAGGTACCCGGTGCACTAATTTCTAGAGATCACCACCGTATCCTATGCTGACCTACAACCAAAACATCACTCGATCCACACCGCTCGATGAAAGGCTCCGAGTAGTTTGGTGTATTCTGTCGTGACACCGATGTACGGCGTCTCTTCTGCCGTGGTATGAAATATTGAGAAAGTCCCAGAGCCGATGCCATTCTTTGTCGTTTCACTCTCTCGAGCATCCGAGGTACCCTATCGTGTTCACGTACAGACGAGTTTATCTCTTCTTCAAGGCGTCCGTGTGAATACTTGTGTCCTTACGACAAGCCAGATTTTAGGCAGAGGCTACGGCAGCAGCGGTGGCAAGACTGAAGCAGGTAAGGTCTTCTGAGCGAGTTGACCCCCGTATGCGCAGCGACGGCACCATTGGACTACGACTGCTCCGCCAGCGTGAAAACAACAATGTGAGGTAAGCAGTGGTGTTTCAGAATTGTATCAGCAATCCCAAGGAAATTTCGTGTGTGAGTGACGTGAGAATTTGCCGGACCGAGTATCTGACGAGATAGTTCCAACACTGCACATGTTCGGCACCGTCACTCTGGGTCAACCACACTTTCTCTTCTCTTCAAAGTGGCGCCCATGTTTACAACCATGTCCTCAAGACAAGTCGACGGATACGCAAACAAAAATGAAAAACCGACTCCGGATTCAAGCGCAAGCAGAACGTCTGGCACCGCTATACCTGCGCAAGCTTGAGGAGGGTGTCGGCCGAAGGTCTGTTCATACTTGGGTCACTCCCGCCGCTACCATGGCTTCGAGTTCGACCTCGCCCTTCTGGTTCAGTGCTGTCCTGTTCATCTTTTGACGCAGGTGCATCGGGTCTCCAAGCGTGAACGAAGGCACGTATGTCCGACACCGCGGTAGCGGCTTCGTGACGAGCAGATGCCTGAGCTCTCCCTCGAAGCAAGCTGTCCACAAGCCTGGCCATACAGGATGCCGTCTCGTTTACCTGCGTGGTCGAGATGACCACAGAACGAGAGCGAGAGATTCACAAACTGTGGAAGCGGCGATTTGTGACGATCATGTACAGTACCTCGTATGGAAGGTGCTCGAAGCCTCGTTTTCATCGCCTCGTCGGTGGAGCTACAACGACAAGTGGAACGCTGCAAAAACCGGCGCTGCCATCGTGGACATGGTCTAAACTCTGTCCTCCACCTCAGTTTGCAAGTATGAAAACAATGACACCTTTCCGGAACAACAGCGAACCAAAGACTGATGTCTGCTGTTTCTGGGCCTGGCGGGTGCGTTCGTCCAAGTTCAGTTCTGTAAGGGAGCATCACAACTGTATGTCGAGCACCATTCAAGCTGTCCGGGGACCGGGCTATCTCTAGGGTGTGCACGAATGAAACGGTCCAGAGAAAGGGGCTACAGCCAACTCCAGGTTCAGCAAATTGTTATCCTCAGCCTTTTTCCAAGTTGAGAGTTGACACAGCTTGTTTGTATTTGAACATCACACGGTGCGGCCTGTTGTGCCGTGCCTGCACAGCAATCACCGAAGGAGCCACGTCTGAAGCTAAGGCATGCTCCTCCAAACGCAGGTGGCCTCCATGGTCACCCCCATCATTGCTGTCGTCTGAACACCAATCGTAGCAGAACTGCCTCTCTTGGCACGCGCGCCGAAGGAACCATCAACCATTGTGTTCCGTCTGTGGTCCTACAGCAGTATGTATGTGCCGCTGGCTGCTGTATACTCTTCGATCGATTGCTGTGCATGCGATCAGCACCCATCGGCAACCTCTTGTGGAAAGGATCGAGAGTGGATGCTTGGGAACGTCGGCGAGGAATCTTCACTTCCAAGGTAGATGAGGGGCTGTGCCCTCTATTCTCAATATAGGGAAAGGGACAGGAAAGAGAGAGAGAGGGTGAGTGGGGCAGAAAGAGGGAGAGAGAGAGAGAGAGAGAGAGAGAGAGAGAGAGAGAGAGAGAGAAAGATACTGTGGACGACCCAACCAGCGTACACTCCTTACATAGATGGTAAGGACAGGCGTCCAGCACCTCCCTCAGGTGCACATTCTCACGCCCGAGTGATTACTGCTGTGCGTGGTGATTAGGCCGCATTATTATTGAAATACTTCTGAAGCAAGAACCCAACCGCAGTTTGAGATTGGACACGGACAGCCTAAACTTACCTGGTCTATGGTCGGAACATGTGCCGTGGATGCGTCCATGGTCGGGAACGAAGGTTGGGTGTGCCGTAACCGCGTCTGGGAGATGGGGAGCGTCACCGACGGGGGCTCCGCAGATGAGACATTATGACCCTTTGCGGTCAGAAATTGATATACGAGCCCGGGGTTTCCAGGCATATCTATCGTCGCCTCTCGGGCCCTTCCACGCCACTCTCCCGACAATCTCGTGTATTCTTACATGTCAATTCTGGGTGCTGATGAAAGAACCGACCACGAAGTTTGTATCGGGTGCGAGTGATATGACATGCCGTCGTGCCCGTGATTGGATTCGTCATCTACCGTCTACTGAACACGAATAGTACTCGTGGACCAAACTGCGAAAGAAAATTATCCGCACTCAACAGTGTTGTCATTGACTCCCTGACTGGGAGAAGAATGTCCACGAAACGGGCCTATTGCGTCGTGGCGCTTGACTCTCCTAGGACCGGAGAACATTCACTAAAGCGCAAAGATTAGCACACACCGTCCTCTTTTCGAAGCACCGCGAGTTCCTCTGCGCACAATGACAAGCTCTCTATGCGTTACTGTTGCACGGGTCGACCGTACCACTTCAGACTGACTGCAAACGAGTGTTTCCCACGTTTTCAGCCACCTTGCACCAGGTTTGACGAGTAGACCGTGATTAAGGTACGGTGCAGCAGTAGACCAGAGCGCAAAACAGTAAATAGCAAATTCGTCGTGGTGTGAATTCCTCCGCGTACCCCCCTCCCTCCATACACACAGTGAAACCGCGGGGCTCCTCTGACGGTGTGCGTACAGCCCATGAGAGGAATCCGGCATCGGCATGATGATCTACGGAACGACTCCTGCCGCGACCGACACGTGCCTGGTTTCTGAGCCTGCGCGGAAACAGCTTGCACCGGATCTCGTGCTTGATGGTGCTTTCCCACAACTGAACGATGCAAACCTCCACTGTCTGCAGACTTGGGTGCCAGGTACGCATGCCCTCGACAACCCTCAAACCACTCGTTCCTTGCCACCATTGTTCAAGGCAGTTAGCAGTAGGAACGTTTGAGATATTAGACCCTTGTGTCAAAGTTCGAACACTGCAAGCAAGTCTGTCGGCCCGACACACAGTATTTAGTACGAAACCCAGTGTGAATGCACAGTTGGCCACTGCACCGGGATGGCTGGCCGCTAGAACTGGCAATGCCAATTGGATCACCGGAGACAAGCGACAGCCATCGCTGTTGCTAGAACACAGACGTCTGTTTCAGGGGCGTCCATCTATCGTTCAACAGCCCAATCCATTACAATTGGTATTCGGCACCGATAGTTCTCTGGTGCGTTCTGCCTTGAAGAGCACGACCTGGGAGGATCACTTGTGGCGTCCCTTCCACGCCAGCGTCGACCCGTTGTCCGTGTTGGGAGAAAAATGGTCCTGCAGCTACCTCTTCAGTTCTCTTGCCAGCAGGTGAGCTACCGTTTTCTCCTCTGCGTTTCGCGAATATTCTTACCAAACGTGACAGATAAGTGTACAGTCGAAGGCTACAGCAGTAGTCCATTAGACCCTCCCACCTACTGTACCTGGGCGGCCACCAGCCCTACTGATAGAAAAAGGCTCATCCAATGGACTACTCGGTCAGTGGCTGATCGAGTACTTTGCACCAAGCTACAGTATACATGTCTCTGGATTTCATCGGACTTGCCGTACCGCCGGGGGGGGAGGGGGGGGTGTACTCATAGTCGTGCATGCCGTATTCGTTAGACCATTGACCTCGCATCCATACAAAGCCGGCACGGAGCACGCCGGGTTCTCACCGGACCAGGCTCTCACATCACCAAGCGCGAAGCGCCGTGAGGTATTCGGCGAGTCGCATGAAGGGTGCGCTGTATCCTGCTGAGGGTGTTCGGCATCTTGTGCTTACTTCCTTGCGTGCGGATGACAGCTGCGTATGACTTCATTTATTTTCTGGTGCTTTCACTTCCAGAGACAGTTAATAAGCACTGCGTAACTGCCTCGAGGATGCCTTACCATTTGAACACAACGTGGTGCGATTATCCCCCTTGCACGGAGTGAGGGTTCTCGACCCCGCACAACACGATCTACTCGACCACCATTATGGTAACCGCAAAACAGAAAACAGAGGTAAAAAAAAAGCGGTAACCTGGTTGCCGAGTTCACGAAGTGAATTGGCTTGTTTTACAACATCGTTGCCAAGCCACGAAAACCCAACCACGATGGCAAACACCGGGGGGGAACATACCGCGGGGGGGGGAGGGAGGGGTGTACTCATAGTCGT